AGCCCTGTCTGCCTGATGAGGCTCCTTCTTCTTCCTCTTCGCCGGAACTCCCCGATCCGCTTGAGCTGGAGCTCGATGACCCAGAGGAGCTTGACGCGTTGTCTTGTTCGGAAGCCCGCTCGGGGGCTGGCGCCGGTCGGTGGATGACCTCGGGAGAGTAGGACATGATGTCCACTTCCTCATCGCTGAGGTACTCGACCTCCTCGTCATAGTCCGCGATCGAGGCGTTCTGGCTGTCAGAGTCCGTCATTTCGATCTACCTAAAGGTCGGTCGGGGTTAGTAAGGGACTTGAGACGTCCGGGACAGTTAGTTGGCCTATCAGTTCTACTTATAAATGAAAGCGCAAAGTAAAGGGAGGGGTTGAGAACTTACCGAATGGAGGAACTTTGCGGATGAAAGCTTGAAGGTTTCCTTGCTCGACTGCCTTGCTAGGGTGCTCTGCTCGGGGCGCTCTGAGAGTACCGACTGAAGCAAAAGAGTGAGGAACGTTCAAATGAGGGCTTCAAGGGCCTATTTATAGGAGAGCATTTAGGCGGGAAACGAGCCCACTTGCTTGACACGACCCGCACTGATTCCGAGGCGACGGTTGTCGCAGAGGCCGGCAGTGGCCGACACGTGGCGAAGAGAGGAATGTCAGCTGGCAGGTCGGGTTGATGGCCGGCGGTTGAGCTTCTTCATCCCGTCCCGTTTTTTCCCGGACGATCAAAAAGGCCCGGGCTGGGGGGCTCTTGGTAGGGAATATCCCGACCGACATAGCTTCACCACGACCGAGATGCCTTCGTCCTTTTCTCTTTTATCTTTTGCAGGTAACAGGTCGGGCTCCTCGTGAAAAACCCGGTCGGGAGTTGCCCGAGCGACAGTGTCGACCACCGAGCGATAGCCCTTTGGCGAGAGAGCTGATAAAAGACACGTGGCGGCTCTCTACATCGACAGACAGGGCACCCGCGAGGATGACACGTGGAGGCTACGTGGAGAGCATGCCGAACGACCGGATCTTTGTCTCCGGCACAGAGGCTATAAATACCCACAGTAGCTACAGTGGAGGGGACTTTTGGACGATCGATAGGTTGTTGTTAGAGAATCCCGACCGCAGTCAGTCGGTACTCAAAGCAACCAAGTAGATTGTACTTAGGGCCTCTACCGTGATCAATAAAGACATTTACTTGCTTTAATTGGTCTCGAGTTATTTCATATTGCTTACGTATAATTAGCAGTATCAATATATATATATATATATATATATATATATATATATATATATATATATATATATATATATATATATATATATATATATATATATATATATATATATATATATATATGCGAGTTCAGGTGCGGCAGTGTCTTACGGTGTGGCGAATTCTTACGGTGCGGCAACACCAATAGTTCAACAAATATGCACCATCAACGTTAGGAAAATACACCACACAAAACAGAGTAAACAGAGCCCTGCATCACCAAACACACACCATTAGGTGTGAGTAAAAACACCATACACTGTTCGGAAATACACCATTGGGGTAGGGATGGCAACGGGGCGGGGCGGGGGCGGGGAGTATACTCCCCGTCCCCGTCCCCGTCCCCGCTACCCCGTCTCCATCCCCGTCCCCGGCGGGAAATTAGAAATATTCTCCATCCCCGTCCCCACGGGAAATTAGGCGGGGACGGGGATTCCCCATTCCCCGTCAACTTCTAGATAAAATGTAAAATAATTTTAAATTTTAATAATAAAAATTTTAAAATATAAATCACAATTTCAAAAATTAAAATACTAAATATATATATATAGCATACTGCATGTGTATACAGTGCAATAATACTACACTTATATATAGTGTGGCAACATTAATTAATTAATTACTTATATATATAACAGTACTTATACTAACAGTATATATATAAGTGATAACAGTATATATATAAGTGATAGTAGTATATTTATTTATGTAATTAACTATATATATATATATATATATATAAGTGTACTGTTATATATATATATATATATATATATATATATATATATATAAGGGGACGGGGAGGGGTGTCCCCATCCTCGTCCCCATCCTCGTTCCCTGAAAATTTTCCCTATCCCCGTCTTTTTCAGGGCGGGGATTGGGGATCCCCGTCGGGGACGGGGCACATTGCCATCCCTACATTGGGGGTGGTGAGTTATATGGTGTATTTTTTTGAGTCTGTTGTGTATTTTGTGATGTTTTATTACATTTCATTGTGGTGTGTTTTTATTACACTGTTGGTGCATATTGTTAACACTGTTGGTGTATTCTGAAATTTCGCCGCACCGCCGCACGGTAAGACCCCGCCGCATATGAGCGCTCATATATATATATATATGTATATATATTGTGCGTTATTTTTCTAGTTTAAGGTGTATCAGTTTAAACTTAAAGTGCTTTGTTTTATTTTATACCTTAAGGTGCGTGGTTTTATAACTTAAGGTGCATCAGTTTGAGACAGTTGGTCATTTGTATGCATATTGGCAGAATCACGTTTATTTTAAAAAATAATTTTTCTTGATTTGAGCCGTTGACTTAGATTAGATCAACCGCTCAAATTTCACCCATCTTTCACTTCGGAGAGTCTTTGCACGTGAACTGATCCATATATATATATATATAGGGAAAGGTTCATGTGCGGATATAGCTTCCCGTGCGGTTGTGCGGTTAGATCTGAGCCGTTGATCAAATCTAAATCAATGGCTCAAATCAATGAAAATTAAAAAAAAAAAACGCGTGTTTGGAAGAAAGCCACGCACCTTAAGTGTTAGATCTTAAGCACAAACTCACGCACATTAAGTACAAAACTCACGCACATTAAGTACAAACCCACGCACATTAAGTACAAAACTCACGCACATTGTTGGACAAGAGGACGCGCTTTTGGTTTTGGTAGACGCTTTTGGTCATTTAGACGTGTTGCATGCTTCTTCATCCAACACACATTAAGCACAATCTCACTCACATTAAACACAAAACCCACGCACTTTAAGTATTAACTCACAGACTTTAAGTTTCAACAATTACTGATATTAATCACTACCCTCACACACATTAAGCACAAACCCTACGCAAATTAAGCACAAACTCCACTCACATTAAGAACAAATCTCACGCACCTTAAACACAAAAGCTCACACTTTAAGTTTTACTAACTACTCACATTAAGCACAACCCCATACACATTAAACACAAATTCATGCACCTTATGCACAAGACTCACGCATATTATATACAAAACTCATGCACATTAATCACAGAACCGCTCACATTAATGTTGACCTAAATACAAAAATTACAAAATTATCACCGCGTTTTTTTTTTTTAAATTTTGGTAATCATGGACGTTGATTTAAGCAAGATGAATGGCCAGATTAAACCGCACAACTGCACAAGAACAACCTAACCACACCAAAACCTAATTATATATATATATATATATATATATATATATATATATATATATATATATATATATATATATATATATATATATATATAGGATCAGTGGGATCCGGTCGTTATATCGTGGACCGCGGTGTACGTGCACCGTCGTCAAAACGGCGCCGCTTCTTTAAATAAAGAAACGGCACGTCGTTACTGTTAACGGAGCGCGCATTTTTTGGTGTGTTAATTACAAACTAACACTACAATGTATCTAAACCGACATTGCCTCACGTATTATTTTATATATTATCAAGTGAAACTGCACTTATATCAAAATGATACTGTAATTGTGGTGAAATGAAACTGTAGTGTATATAACATGAAACTGAATAACATTTCACATTTTTGAGTGTATTGTGCAATGAAGTTGTAGTTATATCGAAATGATCATGTGATTGTGTTTTAATAAAACTATAGTATATATAAAATGAAACTGAATAAAGTTTCACATATTTGAGTATTTGTTTTATTATTTTAATGGTTTAGATTTATCAATTGTAACATGCTGAGGGGTGTTAAGGTAATTTCTAATTTTTTACCATTACACACCATGAGTCCGTGAGTTTTTTCATTATTTCCGTCTTCTGAGTCCGTGAGTTTTTTCATTATTTCCGTCTTCTGTGTAAAAAAAAAACCAACATGAATTAGTGCTCACAACAGATAACAATTTTTAAAACAAAAAAAAAAAAAATACTCCGTAGTAACAATGTCATGCAAAGTCCGTGGCACAGTAACTTGCACATGCCATACCGCACCATACACACACCATCGTAAAAACCACCTAAATAAAAATAACAAATGCACATAATCGTGTTGTTAGTCGTCGGAAGATTGAATGGTGGATTTCAAGTTTAAGAAATGAAATCCCTCTCTCTTGGATGAATATATACACATATATATAGGATCGTAAAAACCACCTAAATAAAAATAACAAATGCACATAATCGTGTTGTTAGTCGGAAGATTGAATGGTGGATTTCAAGTTAAAAAAATAAAATCCGATCCCTCTCTCTCTTGGATGAATATATACACATATATAGGAATTAGGAAGAGAAATATTATCCGATCCCTTTCTCTCTTGGATTATTGGATGAATATATACATATATATATAGGAATTAAGAAGAGAAATATTCACTGATTCATATTTACCCTGATTTTTTAACATTTTAATTTCAAATTTAAAATTTTATCTCTTAATAAAAGTTGTAGCCTTATGAATTAGCTTTCCTGTGCAACTTGAATCATCTCAATTAGACCATTGTAGATAAAAGTTAGGCTAATTTCCTAATTCCATGTCTTGCTTTCCAATCTCCTTTTGATGACCATCTTTATTTTGAACTTTCCTCAACTTCAAGACTTTTGAGAGAACTATTTCGTGCCGCTAGACTACAAGATCATTTTAAAAAAGAGAGTGATTTATGGTATTATAAATTTCCAAAATCTGAGAGGGAGACAGGAAGAGCTCATTCCTGCTTCTCTGATTGTTACGATGCTCTTTCAACTTCTGTCCCTGATCAAACTTATGGCATATACCCAAAACCAAACCAATTTATTTACCCAATAAGAATGCAGTCGACTGGGCTGGAAGGATGACATATATGTATTATTGGAAGGATGACATAGTTCCAAACAATAAGTAAATAATAGTTTGAAGGGAGAAATGTTCTTCCCCAACTTAACGAAACATATTATTTTGATAATTATGCGTCTTCCACTCTTTATAGTAATTTTGGAAGTGAATGTGAATTGTTTGCTGCTCTAGTTAAAGAAAATGTGTTGGTCAGTTATCACCATATATCCACTTCTCTGCATTATTCGTGTAATTTACCAACTCTTCTGGTTTGAACCATAGGGCGATTTCATCCTTTGCAGTCTCAGGGCCATCGCTACCATGGATGATATTCCTGCAAAGAACAAAATATATTACTATTCAGAGCTAGCTGCAAAACAGTTTTATGGCATTTGGGAGTTAAATGCAAGCATAGTAATCAATTAATCCATTAAAAGAATTGAAACTGAAGTTATAAATCCGTAGTAGATTATACCTTCCAACTACAACGGCTAAGTCACCTCTGATAGTTCCGGGTTCAGATTTTTGTGGATCTGTGGCTCCAATAAGCTTACGACCATATTTTATCACACCTTCACCTTCCCAAACCTACAAGATCAACAACATCAGCACTAAAAATCTATTTCATAGTTCATACTACCATGCAGGTTGGTTGAACTCGTGAATAGAAAAATTTCCTAACCATTCCAATAACAGGGCCAGAGCTAAGGAAGTCGCATAAACCATTGAAGAAAGGTCTTTCCTTGAGATCATGATAATGCTTCTGGGCAAAGTCCTTGGAAGGTACCAAAATTTTTATTCCAACAAGTTTGAAACCCTTGCGCTCAAAACGGGATATTATCTCTGCAATCTAAAACCAAAATTCCATCAGATAACAGAGAAGAATTAAGGACGTGCATAAGCATTCTTTGTGTGCTTGAGTGGACACTGAAAATTCGTATCATACCAGGCCCCTCTGCACTCCATCAGGCTTGATTGCTATAAAGGTGCGCTCCATCTTGAAAAATAAAAAATGTTACTATCAGCCAATCCTGGAATTATAATCAAGAGACAGCATGCTAATAAATTTGGAAAAACAAGAGCTACCTCAGCAGCACATGCTTCTTGCTCCTGGAGCATGTAAGCTGATAAAGAAAGGCAACACCACACCAAAAGAGATGAGTGTTAAAATTAGAGCTCTAATGAAAATTTCAAGCAACTATATCGGAAAGGAATATTAACAAGTAAATGAGTATGCTTTATATGAAGTATAATAAATGGAGGCACTTGCTGGATAGCTTTTAAGATGGTCAGTTTGATGCCTTAAAATTAGCTTTCTTCTTTCCTTTATCTCTTTACTTATTTCTTCAGGTAAAATTTCATACCAAGGACTTGAGGACATTGAAGTACTTTTTGGAGATTGAAGTCACTTGACCCAAGAAAGGGATATTCTTCTCACAAAGAAGGGTTCATACAATCATACTAAGGAGTAAGGGCTTGAGGACATTGAAGTCACTTGACCCAAGAAAGGAATATTCTTCTGATGGACCTACTTGAAAATATTGGATTATTTGGGACAAAGCTGTGTTAAGGTCCTGTGGACTTGATTATCAACTGGTAAGGGAGAGGCATAAGATATGGAAGACTAGTCGGTAAGTTGAATGATCTGTTGCTGTCCAGATATTGCTTTTCCTACAAGTTGTGGTAAGCCAGTTTATAGAAGCCCCAATGAAATGTTCCAGAGCGGCTCCAGTAATTCGAATTGTGAGATATCTAAAGGCGCACCAGGGAAAGGATTTATGTTAGAATCATGGGCATAAGTGTATTGAAGTATTATTTGGCAGGACCACTAAAATGGCAGAAGATAAGCTACAATATGTTGTATTTTTATAGGTCAAAACTTGGTATCATGGCAAAACAAGAAGCAGAATGTTGTAGCAATATCCAATGCAAGATGTGAACATTGCACTTTCACTCAAATAATGTGAACTAATGTTGGTATATAATCTGCTAATGTTGGTACAATTGGTTGATTGTTTACTAAGGGAAACAATAACATATTGTGCATGATCGACATCTACACTCCAAATTGAGGGTGTGTGAAAGGAATATGAAGGGGACGCTAGAAACATGAAGGGATTTTGGGTATATGAAGTGGTCAGATTAGCTTGTATAAGTACTTGTAGATACCTCTGTGATAATCATTGGATTAGCTTAAGCTTTCTTCTTATTTAACATCTTCTTTATTCCAATTCACTCCATATTCACATTTATAAAAGGATAAACATAATAAACAGCCCAACCAATACTTTCGTTTCAATAATGATTTAAGCATTATTATTATTAAAAAAAATAAAAATGCAAGTCTACTATGCAAAAGCAAGCTCTTCAAAGATGCTTAGATTCACGCCCTTAAATAAGGTCAGACAAAGAACGAGTAGAAGCCATATGAACAAGTAAATTGAAATGATGTTTCTTTTGAGATGAACAAAAAAGATACAAGACACATTACAAACAGTAGGTTAAACATTTCCCCAATTAATGTTGAATACAACTTCCACACAATAATACTGACCTGCCGCAGGAAGAGCAAAGAGACCAGAAATCCAAGCTCTAGAGGCATTTGCAGACTCTTCCCTACCGTAGGCAGCTAGAGAAGGCACAACTCCTCTGAGAGAAACAGTAGCAGCAGCAGCAGCTGCTCGCCCTCCTGCAATTATCATGCTTCAGAAGAACATATACATTGCAAAAGACCTTTCTTTTTTCCTCACTTATAATTATTAAATTAAAACTAAATGCAAAAACAAGCAAACCATCCATTTTCCTCTCTAATCATTAAAGCAAAATAAACATAAACATAAACATTTCATGATAACTGAAAAACAAAGTTAGCAGACAGAAGCATAAAATGATGAAGAAATCATTGAGAGAAAAAAACAAGTATAATAATACTAAAATAATGAGATTAATGACACGTGTCCTCTTCGATATAATTAATATTATATCTCCACCAATGATTTCACAGTAATCATAAGGCAAAATAAAAGATTTTTCAGGATAATTGAACACAAGATTAGCACACAGAAGCATAAAATGATGAAGAAATAATTGAGAGAAAACAAAGCATAATACTAAAATTATAAGATCAATGACACGTGTAGTCTCCGATATATTATATCTCCACCAACCATTTCAAAGTCAAATCTATCAATTTCTCCGCACTACTACATACTTGACAGTTCTAAACAGTAGATTCTTTAAAAAAATGCCTTGGAAACCGCAAATGTGACGTTCAGTTTGATAACGATATGAGAAAATTACCGGAAATGGAACGAGAGCTCTGCTTGGAGTAAGCAGAGAGAATAGACCTGGCAGCTCGCGAAGCAACAGATCTGCAAATCTGTGAGCTCATCTTCGAGAATTTTCGATCAAAACTCAACAGAGAAGACAAGAGCAAAACGATGCGAGCTCTCGTTAACTTCGATGGAGATAGGAATGGAAATGTAAAGCGGAGAGAATATGATGATAATATAAATGAGTAGCAACTTTTTGAGTAGGGTAAATGTATGTGATGTCGGCTGATGTTTTACGCTTTATGAGAGATTTGTACCTTGTGGATCTCGAGTTGTACGTTCGGCCCATCATCGAAGTTGGGCTGGGTAAAATCCAAAGTTGAAGCTCCTAAAGGCCTGGAATGTATCCGATTCGTTAACGGATTAAAGCAACGTTTTGCGTGGGAACACGGCAACGACGTCGTGCCTTTGTTTTTCACGCTTTTTAAGATGAAATGTGAATCACGTGGTTATCAAGATTTTTTTTTTTTTTTTTTTTTTTTTTGTGTGTGTGTATGTAAATCAAGAGGTGGTTCAAGTGTTTCTTTGTCCGTTAGATTCATCCGGCTAATTCCGTTCGCTTCCGGAGGCACGAGACTGGTCCAAAGGGAATCATCAATTGTGAAAATTGAACCCAAATAATTTCAAAATTTTTCATCACAAAGAAAATTCATTTGCCACTTGAACTACCCTGTTGGGTTACGCGGTTAGGTTACGTGGTTATCAAGATAGTCCTAAACAAAAGTTATTTAAATGGTTTTCCTACCTTCTCCCTCTTATAAAATATGAAGTAGAAATGTTACCAAATGATATTTGTTTTCATTTGTACTTGTAAACATAGGCAATTACACTTGAATGGTTAGATAATTGATTTGGTAATCACAAAATTTCATGAATAAATGATTACAAGATACAATTAACAACTGACAATAAATTTGTTTTTATTTTATATGTTTTAAGATGGTGTGAACATGTCTTTAAAAACAAATTGTAATGAATTTTTTCACTTCAAATTAGGATTTGGGTATCGATTAATATTAGTAGCAATAAATTAAAGATCTCTATGGGATATTTCATATAAAACTTACTCCAAAAGTTTGAATCCCCAACTCTAAGGACCCCACACATTCCGACCCGACAGAGCATGTGGGAGGATGTAAATATTTCATATAAAACTGATTTAGATATGAGAGATTATTATCTGTTTATAAAAATGATTGTTAGTTGAAGGGTAAACTGTAAACTAAGGTAAGCACTAAGCAGGAGAATAGATCTTCAATCAAGTAAAAGTTACATCTTGTTTGAGTTGTTTCACCACTCAATTATGGGAAAGAATATCTAAGATACATTGACCTAAAAACTATCTTAGTCATAGATCTTGTGTACAATGCCTTTTTTCAAAGATAAAAATAGAGTTAATTATAATTTTTGTCATCTCTATCTCGATCTCTCTATCTCTATCTCTATCTCTATATCTCTATCTCTATCATTATCTCTATCTCTATCTCTATATATTAAAGCAAAATGATTAGGGAAAAATTTTTCCCTTCAAAGTGTGAAAGCATTTATTGTATTCACATTATTAATTTATAAATTCATGTAATTTTAATCACAAATCAAATCAACATCAACATAATTATTAAATTAGTCAACATAACATGTCTATATCATTAATTTATAAAATACTAGTAAGTGTCCCGTGCGATGCACAGACTATTATTAATTTAACAAATGAGCAAATTATACTTTTGGTCCTATGACTATAAGGGGCGTGTTAATTTCGCTCAATGACTTTTAAAACTAACAATTTAGTCCTTTAATTATATTTTTTTTAGCAGAGTTGGTCATTCTGGCCAAAACACCGGTGGAAATTGGCCGAAAAAACTTAAACCTTTTTAAATTGTTTATTGATATGCACATTTTATACTCATATTTTAGGTACATCTTTATAATAATTTTGCATTGGTTATTTAATATTATCTAATAATTAGTTCTTTTTATATATAATATATAATCTATTCTTATATAATATAATATATATATATATATATATATATATATATATATAATATATATATAAGAATACATACTACGTACATCTATATATAAGAATATCATAGATAAGAATACATATATCTATATATATTTTATAAATAACCTACAAATAAATTAGATCGGCCCACGTCTTAGTAAAAAAAAAAAAAAGACAAAACTAAGTTATAATTATGTTGTTTGTTTTGGTCTTAAAATCGTGTGGTATGCAGCAATGTAGCGGACAAATTCATGCGGCAATAGCGAAGCTTCATCGTACGTGCAGCACAAAAGTAGGAATTGGGTGGAGGAAATTGATTTAGCCTATTTTTAGAATGCTATAAATAGTAGGAGTTTTCTATTGTAAAATGTTCATTCTTCCCCTCTCGATTATTCTTTAAAGTTGTTACCAATGTCCATTCGTGGCTAATTTCTTCTAGCTTGGCTTAGTGAATTGATGCCCCGGAATTGATTATGCTGTAAGATTATTTATTTATTTTTATTATATATGTTTCTATGCATTTGAGTATTAAATATTCTGCTAAAATTATTTGAATAGTTGTATCATTTAATTGCTAGGGAGGCCTACTAGTTATTTATTTGATATAATTATTTGCTATATTAGATAATGTTGTGCTACAAATTATTCTAATATTCAGTAGCAACTGAGGTTAATTATTGACGGCTTAGTGATAATTGGTCTCGGGTAGAATATTTTCCTAAATTAAATGCAACCGCTTGTGCTTGTGTTATTTAGTTTGTCGGTTTTCCTAGTTCCTATTGCTGCTATTAAATTAAATCTATAGCGCTTGTCTTAGGTTATTTAGTAGTTAGGGGTAATTAAATCGCTTGTGCTTTATTTACCTACAACTAAGGGAAAACGGAAATGAAATAATTCCACGACAAATATTCAATTGCATATTAATTACTTTATTAATTAATGATCAGTGTTGAATTCCGGTGGTGGATCTTTACTAACCAAGGTTTCTTATTCTAAGTGTTTTCGATATATTATTTTCATTGCTTTATTCGTTCAATTAAATTTCTTGTTTATTTAAATTCTCTTTTATTTTATCTTTACTCTCGATATATTCCAAACCCCCCTACCTTTAATTTGAGCACAAAAGTTATACTAGTTACTCCTCGTGGGATCGATCCTTACTCCCGCTACTACGTTTGTAAGGTTTTAATTTGGAAGCCTACGACAGCTCACCAAATTTTGGCGCCGTTGCCGGGGAGATTTTCTAGCTTATTTTATGTTTGTTTATTTATTTAATTATTTATTTTGTTATTTGTTTATTTGTTTTTCAATTTGTCCCAAACGAAAATAAAAATAATAATTTTCTTTTCTTTCATTACTTTTACATAAGTGCAAATCAAAATATATTTTCTTTTTGTTTATGCCTATAACTCGATCTGCTAATCAAGAACTCTTGCCGTACTATCCGGAAATTGAAAGAACTATACGCAGGTGGAAGAAACAAGCTTTGAGAAAATTAGAGTTTAGTGATCTGGCTACCGATTCTACCAATTCTGATTTAGAAGAGGAACCCATGGCTCAAAATCGGACTTTAAAAGAGCTTGGAGCTCCAAATTTGGATCAGCAACCTTTATGCATTACTTTTCCCGCTCTGGATGCTAATATACAATTTGAACTAAAATCTGGGTTAATTCATCTTTTGCCTTCTTTTCATGGACTTGCAGGTGAAGATCCGCACAAACACTTAAAGGAATTTCATGTGGTGTGTTCGAGTATGAAACCCACAGGGGTTACTGAAGAACAAATCAAGTTGAGAGCCTTTCCCTTTTCGTTGAAAGATTCAGCGAAGGATTGGCTATACTATCTATCTTCTGGGAGCATCACCACATGGAATAACTTAAAGACAGCGTTCCTTGAAAAATATTTCCCAGCTTCAAGGGCGGCCAACATTAGAAAGGAAATTTGTGGTATAAGGCAAAACAATGGAGAGTCATTGTATGAATATTGGGAGTGTTTCAAGAAACTATGTGCAAGCTGCCCACACCATCAAATTAGTGATCAATTACTCATTCAATACTTTTATGAAGGACTTTTCCCAATGGATAGAAGCATGATTGATGCCGCAAGCGGTGGTGCGTTAGTTGACAAGACACCAGACGCTGCAAGAACCCTAATTGCAAACATGGCTGCAAATTCTCAACAATTTGGCAATAGACTTGTCCAACCGCCTAAGCAAGTGAATGAGGTAAATATTTCTGCTCTTGAACAACAAATTACTGGTTTAACTACTCTTGTTCGTCAATTAGCAGTAGGCAATATGCAAACTGTAAAAGCATGTGGAATTTGCTCGGTAGTTGGGCACCAAACTGATGCCTGCCCAACTCTTCAAGAAGAACCTATTGAGCAAGTCAACATGGCTGGAGGTTTTCCTGGACAACCTCAAGGTAAGTATGATCCGTTTTCCAATATATATAATCCTGGATGGAGGGATCACCCAAACCTTAGCTATGGGAACTCACAAGGGAACCAGTTTGTTCAGAATCGTTCCACTTTTCAGCAGTACAGACAACCATTTCCTTCGAGACAACAACCGACCCAAAACTTTAGCTCAGGTACGAATCTAGAAGATATTGTTAAATCTCTTGCTACTAACACTTTGCAGTTTCAACAAGAAACACAACTATTCCAACAAGAGACAAGAGCTCGTATTCAAGAAACAAAGGTTAGTATTCAAAACTTAGAAAGGCAAGTGGGCCAACTAGCAACTACGGTAAGTCGGTTGGAAGCACAGAGCTCTGGCAAATTACCCTCTCAAACGATCGTTAATCCTAAAGAGAATGTAAGTGCAATTACTGTGGGAAGTATATCGCTGGAAAAGAATGTTGATTTAGACAAGGAAATAAGTGCAGGTGACATTGCCAATAAAGAGAAGTCCCAAGGTAACCTTTCTTCTTTTTCTGATTATGAACCAGTACCTCCTTTTCCTCAAGCTCTTTTGGAACCAATAAGAGGAAACTCAAATAATGATTTATATGAGACATTTCGTGAATGTGAGGCTAATAAACCATTTTTAGATTCTATGAAAAAGATACCTCGCTATGCAAATTTTCTAAAAGAGGTATGCACATTGAAAAAGAAACCAAATAAAGGAGTTGAAGAAGTGAAAGTGCAAGAGAATGTCTCTATGGCTAGTCAAGGCAATCTTCCTGAAAAGTGCAAAGACCCAGGTATGTTTACTATTCCGTGCATGATAAGTGGTGTTAAACTTGAAAATGCTATGTTAGATTTAGGAGCTTCTATTAATGTTATGCCATATCCTGTGTATGCTTCTTTAAATCTTGGACCCCTGAATAAATCTAGTATAGTAATTCAATTGGCTGATGGATCTACTACATATCCTAGGGGTGTGGTTGAGGATTTGCTTGTTAAAGTTAATAACTTGGTTTTTCCTGCTGATTTTTATGTCCTTGATATGGAAAATAATAATCAAATTTCTCATATTTTGTTAGGAAGACCATTTTTAAAAACCGCAAAAACGAAAATTGATATTCATAGTGGCATGCTTACAATGGAGTCTAATGGTAAATTTGTGAACTTTAATATTTATGATACCATGAAATCTCCTAGTGATGATAATTTTGCAATTTTTGTTGATTCCTTGAAACTTGTTAAATTTAATGCAATTGCTTCTATTGAAAATAAAGAAGAACCAAATAATAAATCATCTTTGAGTCCTAATCTGCATGAAGGGGCTGTTTTTTTGAATACTCATAATCATCGAAGGTACTCAAAAAGACGATGGAAATTTAAAGATATATCATAAGTCGAGCCAACGACGATAAACAAAGGCGCTGCTTGGGAGGCAACCTAAGGTGTGTTTGTTCCATTTTTATTTTATTTTATTTTATTTTTTTTCCCTATTCTCATTCAATAACCCTTTTTCTGCATGTTTTTATTCAACATTGGGGACAATGTTGATAATAAGTGTGGGGGAGGAGATTTAGTTTTATTATTTGTTTACTTAATTTAGTTTTATTCTTTGTTTGCTTATGTCAAACAAATTTTTATTATTATTTGTTTTCTTATTTCATAATTTTCAAAAAATATTTTATTAATATTTTATGCAAAATAAGTATTATTTTGAAAAATAATATTTTTTTTCTTTCTTGGAATGCATAACATGATTGAATAAATAGTTTGGCAAGTTGTGATTAGTTTGTTAGCATCTCTTGTTTGATATTTAGTGGCTATATTAAGTAAGCAATAAACTTGTGAGTGTTTTGAACCACTGACTGACACTTCGGTCTTAATTTCTTTCTATTGTGCGCTTTCTTCCATAATTTTGTTTCTCTAGAACTTGCCTTGATTCTCTTTTAAAGCTAATTTGACCATGCATGATTCAAATGTGATTAAGGCCATTATTTGACTTTGAGCCTCACTAGCCAAATAACCGGTTTGTCCTATGATTTATTTCCCTTTGTTAACCACTTTGAGCTTTATGGCCATTCCTTTCTTTATTTTGGACCACATTACAAGCCTTTTATATCTAAAATAATGCCTTCACCCAGCTGAATAACTAGTGGAGCAAATTTTGGATTATTTTTGTAATCTACGTGAGGTTGGGAAGGATAAGTGTGGGGGAGATCACTTACTCTTATTAATATGATTGAGAGTGAGGTGAGTTGTATCTTCGTTGCCAATATGTCGTTGGTCTTCTATGAAAAAAGAAAAGAGGAAGCAGTTCACGATTCAAAAAAAAAAAAAAAAGCATGAAAAATTGAAAAAAATGAAATGGAAAAATGAAGAATATACGTTTGAAAAAGAAGAATATTGCTGAAAATTTATGAAAAAATGAAAAAGAATCAGCAATTGATTTTGAGTTGAAGTTACTTCTAAATAAATGAAGTAAGGAGAAATTCTGGTAATACTGAGGAAGCATTCTGTACCTCAATGGGATGTGTTTTTTTTGGAAATTGAGGGTGTTGGATTACTTGTATTTATTTGTTCCTCTAGTTTGAAGCTTTTGTTTAAGCTAATTTTCTAAAAATTCCCTACCTTAACCCTAACCCCATTACAACCTGTGAAAAGTCCTTATGATTTATGTCATGCATGACTCTTGTAGTGGTGATTGAGAAGATATGCAAGCCTATGGTAGATCAATTTTATAGGAATGAACTTGAGTGAAATTTATACCCATCAAACACTTGAGTGATGAGTGATATTCCTGTGAGGGCTTACTTATTTAGTTTTCTCCATTTTTGAATAGGGAATGCTAACTTATTAATTGTAGGGTGCTTCAAATTGTTGTTCATGATATGTTATGAGTTTTGGGAATTTCATTTTAATTTACTTCGCAAATAATATTTTTGCTTGGGGACAAGCAAACGTTTTAGTGTAGGGGAGTTTGATATGCACATTTTATACTCATATTTTAGGTACATCTTTATAATAATTTTGCATTGGTTATTTAATATTATCTAATAATTAGTTCTTTTTATATATAATATATAATCTATTCTTATATATATATATATATATATATATATATATATATATATATATATATAATATATAATATATAATATATAAGAATACATACTACGTACATCTATATATAAGAATATCATAGATAAGAATACATATATCTATATATATTTTATAAATAACCTACAAATAAATTAGATTGGCCCACGTCTTATTAAAAAAAAAAAAGACAAAACTAAGCTATAATTATGTTGTTTGTTTTGGTCTTAAAATCGTGTGGTATGCAGCAATGTAGCGGACAAATTCATGCGGCAATAGCGAAGCTTCATCGTACGTGCAGCACAAAAGTAGGAATTGGGTGGAGGAAATTGATTTAGCCTATTTTTAGAATGCTATAAATAGTAAGAGTTTTCTATTGTAAAATGTTCATTCTTCCCCTCTCGATTATTCTTTAAAGTTGTTACCAATGTCCATTCGTGGCTAATTTCTTCTAGCTTGGCTTAGTGAATTGATGCCCCGGAATTGATTATGCTGTAAGATTATTTATTTATTTTTATTATATATGTTTCTATGCATTTGAGTATTAAATATTCTGCTAAAATTATTTGAATAGTTGTATCATTTAATTGCTAGGGAGGCCTACTAGTTATTTATTTGATATAATTATTTGCTATATTAGATAATGTTGTGCTACAAATTATTCTAATATTCAGTAGCAACTGAGGTTAATTATTGACGGCTTAGTGATAATTGGTCTCGGGTAGAATATTTTCCTAAATTAAATGCAACCGCTTGTGCTTGTGTTATTTAGTTTGTCGGTTTTCCTAGTTCCTATTGCTGCTATTAAATTAAATCTATAGCGCTTGTCTTAGGTTATTTAGTAGTTAGGGGTAATTAAACCGCTTGTGCTTTATTTACCTACAACTAAGGGAAAACGGAAATGAAATAATTTCACGACAAATATTCAATTGCATATTAATTACTTTATTAATCAATGATCAGTGTTGAATTCCGGTGGTGGATCTTTACTAACCAAGGTTTCTTATTCTAAGTGTTTTCGATATATTATTTTCATTGCTTTATTCGTTCAATTAAATTTCTTGTTTATTTAAATTCTCTTTTATTTTATCTTTACTCTCGATATATTCCAAACCCCCCTACCTTTAATTTGAGCACAAAAGTTATACTAGTTACTCCTCGTGGGATCGATCCTTACTCCCGCTACTACGTTTGTAAGGTTTTAATTTGGAAGCCTACGACAGCTCACCAAATTTTGGCGCCGTTGCCGGGGAGATTTTCTAGCTTATTTTATGTTTGTTTATTTATTTAATTATTTATTTTGTTATTTGTTTATTTGTTTTTCAAGCCAGCAAAAACTCGGACTATGTCCTACAGTCGCATCAACAAAGGAGGTTTTAGGATAATACCGTGCTTTATATACTCTCGCAGCCAGGGAATCAGGATCAGTAAAAAAACGCCAAGCCTGCTCTCTTAGCATCGCTAGTCCTTAAATCCCAATCCCCCAAACCTTTTTAAGGATACATAACATGTCTCATGCTTTCCAATGAATTCCTCTGTCTGTGCCTTTCCCCCACTAATATCTGTTCATGGTTCTCTGTATAGATAAGCAAACCGAATCAAGGAGCAAAAAAACACTCATTGAAAAGGTTGGCATAGATTGAGCCACACTTTTCAAGAGCACTTCTTTACCAGCCTGCGATAACAGTTTCTTATTCCAAGAGCTAACTCTCTGTCTGATTTTGTCCTCCACATATGAGAAAACAACCATTTTATTCCTCCTTATAAATGAAGGTAGTCCCAAATATTTTCCAAAATTCTGTGCCTGTTCTACACCCAAACACCACGCCACCTCTTCCCTCACATTTTCCAAAGTATTCCTGCTAAAGCAAATATTTGACTTGTAATAATTCACCAGTTGACCAGATAACTTCTCATACCTTGCTAAACATTGTTTCACCACACTAGCCTCCTGGATATTTGCTTTAAAGAATAGTAAACTATCGTCAGCAAAGAAAAGATGTGAGATAGGGGCCCTCCCTTGCCACTCTGCACCCATGAATAGATCCTGCTATATGAGCTTTCTGCAATAACATAGATAATCCTTCAGCGCAAATAATAAATAAATATGGAGAAAGAGGATCCCCTTGTCTGAGGCCCCTTGTGGGTTCAATTCAGCCACCACTCACGCCATTCACCATAACATTATACGACACCGTGGTGACACATGTCATAATTAGCCTAGTCCACCGCTCATCAAAACCCATAACCTCAAGCATCATTTTCAGAAACGGTCATTCCATTCTGTCATATGCCTTTGCCATATCCAATTTAAGAGCCCCCACCCTGTCAAACCACATTGCTTTCGGTTCAGAAAGTGCCCCACCTCAGCTGCTATTAAAATATTATCCGTAATAAGCCTGCCAGGAATAAACGGACTCTGGGATTCCGAGATTAAGTCTCCCATAAGTGGCTTCATCCTGTTAGCAATCATCTTAGCCATTACCCTATACAGAACATTTCCTAAGGCAATAGGCCTCATATCTGCCACATTCTGAGGCTCATTCTTCTTTGGGATCAATATAATATTGGTATCATTCAAGTCAGCGGGAAACTCGCCTGAATTCAAACAATTAATAATAAAAGAAGACACATCATCTCCCACTACACTCCAAAATTGCTAATAAAAGCCTGAATTCATTCCATCCGGGCCAGGTGCCTTATCAGGAAACATTGCAGCCTTGACCTCATCCGTAACATAAGGACGCAAAAGTGCATCATTCTGGTCATCCGTCACTCGGGGGACAAATTCATCAATTAACGGATCCTCACACACAGAACTACTAGTGGTAAAGATCATATTGAAATAATTCAAGATAACGGCATTCATGTCCTTCCTCTCTACCCACACCCCATCATCATTCTTAAGTTTAGCAACAAAATTCTTTTTCTTTCTAGCAGAGGCATACCTGTGGTAGAACTTCGTATTCGCATCAGCTCCACGAAGCCAGTGCTGCTTCGCTCGATGTCTCCAAAACACATCCTCCTGGGCCTCCAACTGAGAGATCTGGTCGTTCAACTGTTGGAATTCAGCCAAGGCGGCCGGATCCCTCCTATTTCTGATCAGCCCCTGCTCCTTTCGTAGTTGCTGGATGCGGTCACCAAATTTATGAAAGTGCCCACCACCCCACCGCATCAGCCTGTCCCCGCAATGCTGCTGACAATTCAGCAACCGCTCTGCCCTCCAATCATGCCAGGCAGTCTCCACCACATCTCTACACCCCTCATCAAGTAGCCACGCCATCTCAAACCTGAAGCCTCTCGGGACCCTACTCCTATGCATATTCTTTGCATTAATATTGAGGAACAGAGCCGAGTGGTCCGAAGTTCGAGTAAGAATATTCTCGACCTCGACCCTCCCATTGACATCACACCAATCCATTGTCGCCAAAACCTTGTCCAATCTCTCCTCCACCCAACGATCCGTACCACTGGCTTTCTCCCATGTATACTGGTGTCCACTCATAGGCAGCTGCCTTAAACCACATCCCTCCACTATTTCCCCAAACCCGCGGATGAGGCTCTCTGGGTGTGGATTGTTTCCTTTTTTCTCGTGTTGGAACAAGAGATCATTAAAATCCCCTATTACAACCCAAGGAAGTGGGGACTTTCTAGTCAATGTTTTGAGCAACTCCCACGAGTCCCGTCTACAATTACGCTGAGGGATACCATAGAAACACGTCATTCGCCACTCTTCATCAGCTGACATTCGTACTCCCTCTCACTTGTACTCCCTGGCATGGCAAACAATAATAGGATCTTTTCATCATGTGGGTCCCAAGAAAAGTGTCAGAAATTGGAGTCTATGTAGTATTTTCCATATATTAAAGCAAAATGATTAGCCTCCAAAGTGTGAAAGCATTTATTGTATTCACATTACTTTATAAATTCATGTAATTTTAATTACAAATCAAAACAACATCAACATAATTATTAAATTAGTCAACATAACATGTCTATATCATTAATTTATAAAATATTTCATATTTTATATATATATATATATATATATATATATATATATATATATATATATATATATATATATATATATATATATATTATCTCTATCTCTTCTCTTATCTTCTCTTCTCTATCTCTATATCTCTATCTCTATCTCTATCTCTATCTCTCTATATATATTAAAGCAAAATGATTAGGGAAAAATTTTCCCAAATGATAATCATCATAAATAATTAAATAAATATGAAAAGAAAATCAAAGTGAATAATAAGCAAAAAGATTTTAGTGGATATGAGATAATTCACAAAATTAATTTGAGTAATAATTGTTGATCCATAATTGAGAATTAACATTGCAATAATTATGTTATGTTTGTAACATTAATTGATTGGAGATAGATTTAAAATTCAGAATCAATATTTACATGAACATCTACACATATTTCAACACTATAAATAAATCATCATCCACAGCATCACAACCAATACTACAATTATGTTTTGGTCGTGGGCTCGTGACTGGAATTTGGAGGATGGTTGTGGCTAGAATAGGGAGAAGAATATTACTGGGAGTTTAGATCTCTTATAGAGTTTTATACCGTGCGATCTGAGAAAGATGAATCCAAAAATGCGCAGTAGACATGAAGAAAAATCTGAGGATAAAAATCATACCTTGCTTCTGAACCTGGGGCTTCAATTCTTGGAGCTGTTCTTTCTTGGAAGCAGAGGCAACTGTTAGCCGTAGCTCATGAACGTGAAGAAGAAGAATTAGCTTACGTAAAAAGACTATTTTGCCATCATGAATAAAAAATTTAAAAAGGTTTAAATTTTTCCGTCTAATTTCCACCGGTGAAGGACCAAATCTGCTAAAAAAACATAGTTAAAGAACTAAATTGTTAGTTTTAAAAGTCGCGAAATTAACACGCCCCCTATAGTCATAGGACCAAAAGTGTAATTTGCTCATTTGTTGACACGGGACACTTACTAGTAGATTTATATGTCCTTTTTTTTTTTGGTGTAAACCACAATTTCTCTGTCCGTTTAACGGTCCAGGTGGGTAGATTTATATGTCCTTTTTTTTTTTTTTTTGGTGTAAACCACAATTTCTCTGTCCGTTTAACGGTCCAGGTCCAGGTCCACCCGGTTCGCTCCCAGAGGCACAGAAGCTGGCCCAAAGGGAATCGCCACTTATGGGAATCGAACCCGAGTTTTCCCGGAATTCTCCCTCACAAAGAGAGCTCATTTGCCAGTTGAGCTACCCTGAACATTGTCCTTTGATCTTAATATTTTGTGACATCACTTTTAGACCTAATATTATTGTGACAGAAATTTTTGGTCTTACGTCAATAAAATCGTTAAAATGACGTTAAATATAAGGATATGCCACAATAATACTAGGACCAAGGGAATGTTTTGAAAAAAAAAAAAAAAAAGATTAAAAGTGAAATATCACCTATAAATCTAGGACAAAAAATGGAATTAAGTCATAAAAATAATGTGAGCATTTTGATAATTACAAAAACATATCCCAATTCTAGTACAGACAATTGTTTGTTATCGAGTTCTGGTCCATTTGGATTCATTCTAATTAGTAAAAGCCAACAACGATGTACACAGTTAGTTCAAACTGAAAGGTGAATGGCTAATTAATTTCCTTAGCAACATCCACTTGGTATTGTTTTCCAGTGGAATGTAAAAGTACAAAGCAGCTTGTCAATCTAGTTTACTATGTACACAACCGCACAAAATGTTGTCTTAAGATTATTATCAAACGTTCAAATCTATATGCACTCATTTGCATGGGGCGAGACAAATTTACAGGTTAACAGTTTGAAGCCTGAGAAGAGGTCGGCTGTGGCTTGCCAGACTCGTTCAGCGGTGTTGATTTCGACCCCAGATTGCAATCAGCCTGCAATGATGCCAACCATGCATCTACCTGGAAATGAGAATATAGAGCTATGACAGCTAGCAGAGGGCAGCAGCAAACAATTATTGAAATTGCATACCTCATTTTTAATAGGATGAGATGGTCTGTGGCAAGGAGTTTAATGTGTATAGTGTTGCAAAAATCTCACCTAGGCACCAATTAGTCGGAGTCTATGTGCTAGGCGTTGGCCAGCCGCCTAGCGTATCACCATAATCGGTGGTCTAGGCGGCTGGCCGCCTAGGCCTCATAGATGCCGACTAGGTCGCCTAGTCGGCCGATTAGCTACTGTTCCCTACTTTTTTAAATGGGTTATTTCACTAAAAAAGACATCGTTTTGAACGAAATAACCCTAAATTGTTCAAACTCTAAATGTTTTTTAGGTTAATATTTAATATTTTAGTATTAAATAATTTATACAGAGTAATGATCAAGTGCTAAAAAATTAAAAAAAAAAATAAACAAATTAAAAAAAAAATAAAAAATACACGGGCGCCTAGCGATTTTTTCAACCATGGTGTATATCTTAAAGAGTTTGGGTTCTAAGAGCACTTTCTGAAATTGATTTTGGTAAAACAAAGTGTGGCATAAATTGTATAGTGATGCGATTATAGTACTGTAGTATCATTGTATCAACTTCAGAAATCCAGGCACATAGAGAATTTAAAGCATGCATACTGGACATAAGGACCTTTTTCTTTAATTTCTTGTGATTGAAGGTGAGGTATCACAGACACGTATTTATTTCGTTTATTCATGAATCCCCAATGGAAGGATAACTCCATGAGACACTAATCGAGAAAACATGAGGTGTGTTGAGAGAGTACCTGTATTCTGGAAGTACTGGAGCACTCGTATCGCAACCCTTGACGGGTTAAAATATAAAAGCAATGCTGAGCTTCCTCACCTTCTCGTGTGAGACAAGGAAGTGGACCAACTTCAACAATATCTGACAGCATGGTGGAGTCCTGAGGACTCAAATCTGCAAAGTTTGTTTTAGGTTCATTACTGTTCAGCTATTTCAGGTGGGAATAAATTCCACAGCAGTGAAAATAGTTGCATTTGTAAATGAAACCACACAACTATTGGCAAGAGCATCATTAAGGGTGTGTTTGGTTCACACATGGGAATGGGAATCAAATACTTGGTAATGGTAATGGGTTTTGGTGAAAATATTTTGCATGTTTGGTAGTAAGGTGGAATTGGAATGATTACCAATATTATTGTTTGGTTATGTATGATCCTATAATGGGAATAAAGGTTTTGAAAATACAAAAACAAAAAATCAAGACAATTTATTCTAATATAAAAACATCCAAAACACCAATATGAACAAAAAAAATAAAAACAAAAAACTAAAAGCACTATTCTAAACTTAAAAATCAAATTACCAATTAGGAGGGGAAATAATGGAATGAAACCCTTATTTTTTTTTTGGTAGTGTTGAAACCCTTATTTTATTATGGAATGAGTTTTCTAATTATGGGGGTAATCAAATCCCATAGTAGTGTTCTAAAAACCTGTCAACCAGACAATAACAATGACTTTGATTCCCATTCCTGATAGCTAAACCCATGAATCAAATAAGTAACTTCACAGGTCAATATAACCATAAAGCAATCCTCAGCATAATTATTGATTGAAGTAAAGATCCATTGACTGAAAAATCACTTAAAATTTTTTAAATCAATAGAATGAGAGAAGTGGAGTACACTGTATACATTATACTAACTATCTAAGCGCAAAAAAGACATGGAAAACCAAAAGACAGATCCGTTACCAGTAGACAACATATACAGGTATAGACAAGATCCATGGAGGACAACAAATCTAGGAACCCAGTCATCAACTTCAGCATCATCAAGTGGAGGAAGTTCTCCAGGTAATGCTGCCCATCTCTATCAAAAAGATACCAGAAAAGGTCAATTGAGAGAGTGAAACTCACAGAATAGACTAGATCAGGGGACAACACTGGGAAATACAATAATGGAAGTAGGCAGTACCATTCTCATGTAAAGGTATCCAGAGAGACGAGCAGATCGTAATATCTCATCTACATGTTCTAATCTGCACAGAATAAAATTCATTAGCTTTGATCACATAATCCTGTACAGAACTACAGGTTAGAAAATCGGGACACAAAAATGGATTAGCTTAGAATGGCATTAAAAAGGTTCTAACTCAAGAAGCAAGAAAATTGAAGAGTGGTTTAATTTGGGTTAAAAGAGAACTCTTAGCAACATGATTCTTCTACCAAAAGGCAAGTCAAATTTTTGCTAATAAGTAATAACAGTATCAGATTTTTGTGATCTAACAAAATATTTTTTAGACAAGTCTAAAAGCACCACAGACTAGGAAAACAATATTCAAGGCAAATTAAGGTATCCACATCCAGCAAATCCCAATACACAACCAGAAGGAAAAAGAGATACAGACATACAGACATATCGGTGATGCTGTGATCAACCAGGGGTTAAGGACCTAAATGGATTTTTATATAAGTGCCAGACCATACTCAGCCTCATGATGAGATGTTACGCCAGTTAGGGTGATATGTTACTTTGTTAGAGGTCTTAGTGCTCTGAGTACGTAAACATTTAAGAGCTTCTACACCAAAATTATGTGAAACCTAAAAAGGAAAAACCAAGAGAAGAGAGGGCAGACATTTCACAATTTAGAAAGGGGGAACTTGGGTTGTTCCCCAACACATACAGATTCAGATACCAGTTCCAATGACAAAACTAAAGCTAATGAGAAGAGAGTCTCAAATGCACGAGGAATCCAAGGAGCAAATGTTGAAGAAGAATGAAAAACAAGGACAATTCTGTGGGAAAATGGAAGCTTGTATAATCTGAAGAGACAAAATCTTCCTTACTGAGCTTTCAAGTGCGACTCTCTTTCTTCTAAATCATTGATTTCAGATCGAAGAGACGCTACCTCTACTGCACTCAAAACCACCTGCACTTCAAAACAGTAACAATAGTTATTACAATTTACATCTACAAATTGAAATATCAGAAAAATGGTGCATAACAAGGCAATAGCATCAACCTTTTCCTGGCCATCTGTGTCAGCTACCCAAGGCAATCTTCGTAAGCTCAGTAACCTCAGCATTGATACTGTGCTTTTTAACTTACTCCGGGTCCACGATCCGCTGCACGACCTATGCTAATAAAAGACACAGGAGCTTATCTAAAATCAATTAAAAATACATGCCATCTATTCGACTTCTGAAATTTTCTTTCAAGATGATATATATACCTAAAAGAGTTATCGTAGCTATTTCTCAAAGGCGTGGATACAGTTGGGGTTTGAGGAGAGTCTGCACCAGGCATTGAAGCTTGAAAATGGTCAGGGAAAACTTCTATTCCACGAGGACCATCGCCCATGAAGCTAATGCTTACTTAGATACCTAGAAGAATCAAGAAAACTAGTATAAAACACCCAGAAAGCACCAAACTTCACCATTCTCAAAGTAAATTACCAAACAGAACTAGCATGAATGCATGATCTAGAATGAAATTCGACTTTGGCAGATCGCATTCATCTAAGCTTTATCACAACTATTTCCCTGTGAGATCAATTGCTTAATCAAACCAGAATAACAACAATAGAAACAACACAACAACAATATTAATCACTGTAAAGGCTCTATGTATGCCATTAAGAATCTGATCAAACAAAACCTATAGCTCAGCTAAAGTAACTATTTACGCAAACACAACTAAGCAAACTATTAAATGGATTCTACTAGGCATTCGCACTTCCAACCAACGCAAACTGACTGATTTCTGTAAAAACACAAGAGAAGAAGAAGGAAACAACACACAGTGCAGGATCAAAGTTGCTAAAAATTACATAATTTGAGAAACAAGGTTTCGGAGGGATTGACCAAACCTCTTCGGCGGTCTGTCGACGGGAAGAGTTTGTAGTTGAGAAGGAGAGCAGGTGATGAAGGTTCGTGTTGGGGGATTGCTGTTTCACGAGATGACAGAGCGAAAATGTACGAATGCAATGATATGTCAAGTTTGGTAAACCCCTAGACTAACAGCTTGTTTAATTAATTAATTAATTGGTTTATATGTTTTCTGTTACGTATTTGTTTCGGCCAAGTAGTTGCTGAGGAATTACCATTCTGTCCCTATTTTGGTGTATAAAAGTATAAAACTATAGACAGACGTTTGGTCGCTGGCTATTTGTTGAAGCTTTGAGGATAATATCTTGTAATCTTGCTCCCATTTGTTTCTTTTTCCTTAGCATACAAGTATGCAATTTCGGTCCCGGAACACAACAAAATTTGTACAAGTACATCTTAATAATAATAATAATATTTTTTTTGGTCAGATGTCCTGAGTAAGCCCTAACTATAAGAGACATTTTTAAGCTCGTACTATACTCTGACTAATCCACTATTACACCGGACCGGTCCAATTAAGGGGCAAAGTGCTGGCCAGATTTGTTTTTCCATACGAGAGGGAGTTCGAACTCCCGACTTATCTTAAGTGATAAGAGTGCACGGCCACTCACGCCAACCAAGCAAATTAATATTATTATTATTATTGATGGATCTCAGCGCTACATTATTATGCTCTTAACCACAAAGTACATCGCTACATTATGCTTATTTCTCATCCTGTGACTGTTGTAAGTCAAGTATGCTTAACCACAAAGTTAAGTAAGTAAACATTAACCATTTAACCACATTCATCCATCGTAAGTGAACATTAATCATTTAATCACATCCCTCCATAGTAAGAGAACATTAATCATTTAACCATATTCCTCAATGATAAGCAACATCATCATGTCTCAAATTATTTAAGGACTAAACTCAGCCAATCTGGCTGACTCCAACAATTATTATTATTATTATTATTATTATTATTATTGTAATTGGTGTAATTAAAATAATTGGTCCACTTAATGACTTTAAAAAATACTACCAAAAAAAAAAACTAAAATAAATTATGTACGTATTTCAAACGTTTTTGCTTCGGTTCTTTTAGGAGATTGGACATGGGATGATACTCTTGGCTACAGCGCCGCTAAGCAATTATTTCAAATAAATTATTTGCACATGCCCACTTCTTTAATTATCACTACATGACGTTGTGAAGGAGACAATTTCATTAAATGATTAAGAATTAAGATGACTTTATTGATAAAGTAGAGCCCAGATCCATCAAAGACTCGAAAGTAAATATTTGACACAAGCACATCCAAATGAATGGGACGGGGAAGAAAGTGGTAACCGGCCCCTTGTATGTTAAAAGAATCTATATAAATGAAATGAAAGTCTTTTAGAAAGATTAATAAAGGTTTTAGAAAAGAAAATAAAAAAGACAAAAAGTGGTGTGAAAATGAAAAAAATAAAAATAAAAATCCCAGGATGTTTAAATTGTCAAAAGACAATTTCAGTTCAACTATTCTTAGTTGAATGGCGGACCCTAAGAGTTCCCAGCACTCCAACCCAACAAAACATCTAGAAGGATGTAAATCATGATTACTTAACTAAACACAGAGCCTAATTATTTCTCAAACAAACAAGGACTCGTATATTGCTCAAACAAACAGGAAGAAGGCAAAGAAGGAAATAGTTTTATTGATTAGCAAATAAGATGACAGCCCACAAAGATTATATGATAGCATAAGGCATTTTGGAAACTCAGGAAAACAAAATAAATTGTCTTAATGTTTAATTTCAGGAGAATGGTGTATCCGACTTAAATTTACTGACCCAGACTCAATTGATAATGGCACCACTACCTCAGGACAAACCAAAGGGCCATCAAATAACTTGTTACCCTCTTTCCTATTGGGAGAAGGGTGGTCTAAGTCATTGCTTACTCTAGTTAAGTTTTTAGATGGATCAGATATGGGCTCAACAGATCCTTCCACATTCTCTGCAGTATCATTCTCGTGGGTAAGATTTGAACCCACATCTACATCCATGCCTTCTGTGCCCACCACATAAATAGCTTGTTCCGGTTTCTTGACTATATCCACAACCATCAGATCTTCTATCTGATGATTCCTAGTGTGAGTGTCTCCTGTCCCCAACGCGTTACTATCTTGATTCAACTCCATATCTATACTATCTTCAGAACCAGACTTTTCCTGTTCAGATGCTGGAAAGGATTCAATCTGCAGATTAGAACATAAGACTTTCTCACCACTTGTGACTTTGATTTCCTGTCTCTCCTTTTTGTAAAGGGAAATGGATTTCTGCACATCAATCACACACAAATTTGATAAGAAAGTGCAAATGCATTGTTTACATGACCATAAAACTAAGCCTTTCATGTCTTATTTTCTTTTAATGAACTGATTAATATAAGGTTTTCTGCAAATCAAACTGTATAGTCTCTACAAATGAAAAGCTTCATATTCAGTACTAGTACATTAGAACGAAGCATGTACCTGAAAAATAGAATCTCTCATGGCAGCAAAAAGTGAAGCACTTGAAATTTCACTAGGTCTTGATAACCTAGCTCCTACAGCCTGCAAACATAGGGAGAAAGCGAGTTTATTACACTTATATTAATTATAATTGAAGGAATAAAAACATATTCATTATGATCCCTTTACCTCCACAAACAAGATTTTTGAAGCATCATCAGTTATCATGTTCTGATTGGCAAGTAATAAGCCTGTGCATTGATTATACAACTCAGGTTCAGTAAGATCTGCAGAAATATCAAGCTTGGAGAGATAAACATGGCAATAATGAGGGCCATCCCTTCTCGACAACTTAGATTGACTAGATGCCTCTTTCTCTGAAGTCTTTGAACCTTCTGAAGTATTCTTCTCAACAGCTTCACTTGACTGGCTAATAGCCTTACTCTCAACCTCAAGATCAGGCTGCCTTTGCTCACTCTGAACTTGCAGAGCTGACTGACCAGTCAAAGTATCATCTCCCAGGCCCTGGGCTGAATTATCCTCCTTCTGAGAAGCAGAAGGTGGCTCCACACTTGCACTCCCATTTGGCCCCTTCCACATTTCATTTGTCTCCCAACTCCGACTCCTTGACATGGTCGTATACTGGTCCCAATCTGGCCTCCCATAAAATTGTGCTTCATCTCCAAAGACAGGATTAGTAGAATCCCAAGCATGCAATGAAGGTCCACATGAATCACTCATTGGAATTCGCCAACCAATAGGGTGCCCATGGCCAGGATACCTATCAGCATTTGGCAAATGGTAAGGTAGTCCAGGATGACTCATCTCCAATGGTGTTCTGATGCCAAACATTGGGGGAGCAGGAAACTGTTGCATCATGGGAGGAAAACCAACAGGCGGTGGACCATGTTGGAAGGGCATATAACCATTAGCAACAGGTGAAGGCCAATTTGTGACTCCTTTCCAAGAATTTCCTTGAAATCTTCCAATATTTGGGTCACTGGTCCTTCTATGCCGATTGCTAGGCTTGCCCCTACTGTCATCTTCAGAACAGCCAAAAGGGCTATCAACACCTGACCTTAAAACAGGAGGTGGTAACGATGACTTTGTAGCACTTGAAAAATTACCACCTCTGATAAAAGGTGAAGAAACAGATAAGGTCACTCCGTCAGCTTGGGAAAGTTCATCTCCCACAGGTGCCTCCAAAGGCAATTCACGACTTCCCTTGCGTTCCTTACCAGAGAAATCCTTCAAATCCCTGGAGTCTACACTTCTTTGGGTTGGGTCCTCAGCATCAAGACACTGCCTAACCTCAGATCTATTTACATGTCTGCGGCCATTGCTTGTTAATGAAGGGGATTTATCTATTGGCTGCAAGATATGGGAATCAGATTTTAGATACCCTCCAGTAAATCCATCACCTAAATAGTTGTTTCCCTTTTCCTGATAAGCATAGTCCTTATTTGTTGCTTCATCTTGCTTCAAATGCCTGGGAGAAAACAAGGATATAGAAGATAATAGATAAGTCAATTATTTCAATGATGTTGTTAATGATATATACACAATTTATAAAGGAAAGCAACTTGCTGACATGAGTATAAAAATCACCACTAATGTCATGTGTCATGTCTGTCTATATGCCATGAGAAAAAATAAATAAATAAATTTAAAGGTAAAAAATGTCCAGCCATGATCACGACAGTTGAAACTCTTTTATATTTCCAACATTCATAAATGTCTTCAATCTGACTAATCAAACATCTTTTATCATATTCCTAATGTAAAGAGACTACAAGAATTTCAAAGATGTGGTGAATCCAAAAATAAAAAATAAAAAAGACAACTACAAGACAGTGAGTCTCCTTTCCTTTTCCCTTTCAGTTCACAACTTCACATCAGCACCTAAAAATAAAAACAGGCTTCCTGAAATTAACAACCCAACCAAACATATAGTTTGCCTCTCTTATGCATTAGTAGCAATTCCATGCCATCTTAAATGTCCAAAGGAACTATTAAACAAATTGGACCAAATAATCAATATAGAGAGCATGTCTAACTATTGTAACAATGTCTCAGACTATACAAGAGTATTATGAAATGTAACTTAGATACTGGGGTATATGAGTACATCTAGTTTTAAACATGCCATATAAACTAACCTGTAATGATCTCTTGTAGCATAATGGCCAGTACTAGAGGGACTTCGCTTTTTGCTGTCATTTGAACTAAGTTCTAAATCAGTAACCCGTGAGGATGATTTTCCTCGATTACTGATTGAGTCTAATCGAGAACCACTTGCAGATATCTTTTCTGCATCATATCGTTGATCCTTACAACTTTGAGATTTGATGTCACCATAGTCCTTATTGTTGTTTCTTCTCCTTTCCTGTTCATCTTTGTATTTGGAGATCCTGATATCATAACTTGGGCTACTTTCACCAAGGCCAGATTTCCTAGATATAAAATCAGTAGAATAACTCTCATCCCTCAAACGTTTTGCATCAGACCTATCCCCTGGGCGGTCTCTTAGCATGCTCTCATCCCTACTCCTCTTGTGTCTATTAGCTTCATCTCTTTGCTTATCACCCCTGTGTCTGCTATCTAGTTCAGAATCTTCTCGATGTTTCTCTTCCTTGCGTCTATTATCTCTTTCACCATCTTCTCTATACGTATTGTCCCTCTGCCTATCATCCCTCTCACGGTCTTCACGATATCTATCATCATTGTGCCTGACATCTTTACCTTCTTCTTCTTGATATCTATCATCCCAATGTCTGCCATCCCTCCCACTATCTTCACGATACTTATCATCTCTACGCCTACTACGTCTCTCAGTTTCATCCAGATATTTAGGATCCTTGTGTCCATAATCTCTATCATCACCCTGATGAAATTTATCATCTTTGTATCTGTTATCTATGTCAACATCCTCACAGTACTTATCACTCCTATGCCTATCATCTTCATAATATTTATCTCCCGTTCGCCTACTGTCTTTATCAATGTCATCCCAATACTTCTCGTCTTTATGCCTATCATCTCTATAACTATCTTCCCGATACTTATCACCATAGCTTCCATCTTCACGCTTCACATCTCTGTATTTGTTATCTTTGGTACGCTCACTCCTTGATGATGACCGCCTTTTATCAATTTCAGTTATATCATCTTCATACTTATCTCGATCAACAGAAGTTTCTCTTCTCTTCCGAGCTTTTTTCTCAATTTCTTTATCCAAGTCACAATTATCCACCTCACTCTGCCTAGACAAATCTGCCATAATTTTAGAACCATTAGAATCAGATCAGCCATCCAGACAGGAACTTAATATTCTCCAACAGCTGAATAACATACTAGCTGATAGTCTAATTGAATAATACTGGTAAATATTATGTAAAGAAAAGAAACTAAACAATTGAAAGGCAGTAACTTGAAAATACAAGCCATTCTCAACATGAAGGGAATGAATAAGAAGATATGCAACTCTAAATACAAATTCTAAAGAAAATTTGTAGTCTAGAGAATAATTATTTTGACTACTACATATCTATTTACAACAAAGAAGAGAAATTTGTACTCCTTGAGCATGCCCTAACATATGTAAACTTGTCAATCAAAGACTATAGAGGCAATTTTCAAGAAATAGGATTGAAACATCTACACTCAAAGTCAAAATTATAACTAAAGTAACTAAAAGCAAATAAACCCATTACTAAAGCTGACTGTCTATCATGATAAACCACAGGAAGAAAGCAGTTAGATAATTGAAAGCCAGTAGAAAGGCTAGCAGTCTCATGTACAACTAACTACAAAAAGTTACCTTACCAGCATTATCTCTACTTCGCTTTCCCTGCTTTTCTTCCGAGACCACTGACTGTGACCCTAATTTCTTTTGTAAATCTCCATTATAGCCCTTCATTTCAGTATCAAGTTTACTACTTTGCTTCTTATCCTTTTCTGATCCTCGCTCCTTTTCCTTTGAATCCTTGTTCTCCTTTCGTGAAGAATCCTTTTCTGATTTCCTCTTTGACTCAACTCTCCCGCTCCTAGCCTCCACCTCCATTTCTGCAGCAACATTCTCATCCTTCCTCTCAACACATCCACTTTCGTGCCTTCTAGAACTTTTACTCTTCAACTCACCAGAACTTTTTGATTCCGTATGCTTCAATCCCTTCTCTTGAGCAGCTTTCAAATTCTCAGCGCCACTTTCTTTGTTTATCTCCCAATCCTCACCCCTCTCGTCCGCACCACTGTTCCACCTATCACTTCCGCCACTCCCCTCGGACTTCTCCTTCCGCCGCCGCTTGGACGACGTGTATTCCTCAGATACGTTGCCATTCCCATAACCGACGAGATCTTTCCCATCTCTCCCCTCCCTTGATTGAGAAGCACGTCTTCGCTTCTCGCCGGAAGTAGAATGTCCCGAATCCTTCAAAACCCTAGGCGAAACGTCCCCCTTACTACTCCTCTCCGTCTTCACATCCTCCTCCGAGTCTGAGTGTCCCCTTGCCTCCTTCGAGCCATGCTTGCTTTGCTTATGCGATTTGTGCTTAGAACTCCGAGGCATAACTGCGCCTTTACGTATCTCTCAGAAACCCTAAGTTTTAACGTCACTGAAAAACCGCTAGAATCACTTGGATTCTGTTCCAATAAAGAAATACGGACCAGAATCCAATATCCGTAACCGGCCGAGTTGTCGGAAAAATATCCACTGAAGTTTGACCTCTCAACCCCCGCGATATGTATAAATCAATAAAGCATATACCAAAATGTGAGCGTATGAGAGTATAGAAAGATGAAAAGAGAGACAGAGATTGGGTGAATATGGAGGTAGAAGATTTGAAGTAATGTGAGTTTGAATCTGAAAATTGCGCCGCCGGCGCTGGCCAGAGAGTGAGATCGGAGAGAGGAGTTGCTGTAGCGGGGCGAAATTAAAAAAGTGATTAGTATTGTTGTATCGCGAACAATTGGCGGTAAATGACGGACTTACCCTCGATGCAAGTTTACGGTGAGTAATTCTCATTAATTCAATAAGAGAAAATTTCAATTTTGGTCATATGACTATATGAGCTTTGTTAATTTCAGCACTTGACTTTTAAAAGTGTCAATTTAGTACCTTGACTATGTAATTTCTATCAATTTTGGTCACTCCGGTTAAATTGCCGGCCAAATTTCGCCGGAAAAATTTAATCCTTCATTTAGTCTATAATCTGAGGGGCAAAATTGTCTTTTGAAGTCTGGTAAAATCGTCTTTTTTTCGGTGAAATTTGGTCGATAATTTGGCCGGAGTGACCAAAATTGACAAAAATTACATACTCAAGGTATTAAATTGACACTTTTAAAAGTCAGGTGCTAAAATTAACAAACCTCCTATAGTCATATGACCAAAATTGAAATTTTCTCATTCAATAATGTCACTAGTGCTACTGCTGTAGGATCATTTGCCAATCGGAGAAAGTTTGGAGCACGGTTTTCAAAATAGGGAAATCCCATTAGTGGGATACAAAAGAAGGAAAGTGTCTTTTGTAAAGGCGAAATTGAATAAAAAGGATGTTGTCTTTTGAAATGGCAACATTACTTCATATTGCAAAAAAATATAAAATATCAACCATATACCATTATACACTATTGTAACACCCCATGTTACGGCCTTCAATCCCGGATTAATTATTTAATTAATCCCGTTAATAATAATTAAATATGATTTAATTCGGTTAGGTTTCCTTTAATTAATTAATAAATTCCACCATGAACCGACCCTTGCCTAAATTAGAGTCCTAAGCCTATTAGGAATAAAGAAAGTAAACCCTTTACTATTCAGATTCTAATTAGGAATCCTAGACCTAGTCATCTATTACGAATGAAGGAAGTAGGCCTTTTACTATTCAGACTACGATTATGATTCCCTTTAATTAATTAATATGGTCCACTATGGACCATGGACCCTTATCCCCTAAAATAAGCCCTTAGTTCTATAAGGAATAGAATTAGTAAACTCATACCATTCAGACCCTAATTAGGAGTCTTAAATATATAAATAGGGATATAGGAGGCACCTAGATCTCCCACCACAATAAACGACTCACCACCCCAAAGAGCTCCAAGAATTCCCTTAGAAGAAATCAAGAAAGCAAGAAAGCTTAAAGAAAGACCCTTCATAGCTAAGGAATTAATTAAGGCTAAGAGGTAACCCATGTCTCAACAAAACCTATTTTCATAGTTATGATTTCCCCCGTAGGTTTTCCCCATATTATTGTGCATTGATGATTTGTGATATTATTATTGATGATTGGTGGGATGATTTCCATGGGTAATCATGACGATGAAAGACTCTTGATAATTATGGTGTTCTTGATGATTATATAACGTTCTTGATAATTATATGATGATGATTGTAGGATACTCTTGATGTTTATGTGATATTCTTACCGAATCTTGATATTAGAAGATGAATTGTGTTCTTGTGGATTTAAAAATGATTAGAACCATAGGTTGTATCGTATGGAATTATTCTTGGTATATTGGGTGAGATTTCGCATGATTGGGTGTTTATTATGTCTAGAAGAGCATGATAGGTTATGTGCCGTTTGTTTCTTGATTTTGATCCGTTAATTGTCTACGTGTGTTATCAATTGCGTTTGAAAGTGTCTAAGCATGGTTTCGGGTTCCACAAAGGTTCCCGAGGCGTTTTTGTGATGAAAGAGTCAGTGGGGGGTAGGGGACCCGCCACCTACCCGCGGCCTTTTTGGGCAACGCCGGCAGCGGGCAGCCGGCGGGCGGGCAACTGCTCGCCGGGCACCCGCTGCCCGGTTTTGCTACCGCCGGCGGGCAGCCGGCGGGTGATCCCTCACCCACCGGCTACCCGCTGGTTTGGACCCCAATTTGGGACTTTGGCTTCCCCGTTTGATGTTCCCCGACCCCCGTGGTGTCCCAACGGACTCCGTCTATCGTGCCTATGTCTAGTTTGATTTTCGGGTACCGTTCGTAGGTCGTATGAGTCTTATATATTGCATGCTAGTTGAATTGGTATCCCATTGACCTAGGTGAAAGAAGTATGAACCCCTTAGGACTATTCTTAGTATGTGAAGGATCACGCATAGGTTTTGTTATACGTTTTCTCCCCCTTCCCAATGTGTTAATGTGGGCTGCATGTGCTTGCTATGTGTTATGTGTGCATGCTACCCCGACTTGGTTGAGATCAATCGGGCTATACAAGCAGTCGGGTGGGCTGAGAACCATACCGACTGTTAACCAGGCTGGTAGAGACCGGTCAGGTATATAAATATTATATAGGACTAAGTTCCACTATACGGGCAGTTGAATGGGTTGAGAACCATCCCAACTGTTAACCAGGCCGGTAGAGACCGGTCAGATATATAAATATTATATAGGACAGAGGTCCACTATACGGGCAGTTGAATGGGTTGAGAACCATCCCAACTGTTAACCAGGCTGGTAGAGACCGGTCAGGTATATAAATATTATATAGAGCTGAGGCTCATCGGTCGGTTGCGATCGACCCCTCCGTGCTGTGAGACGGGGCAGGGTGCTGCGGGGCCGTGTCAGAGCTATATGCGCTGACCCTCATGTATGGGCATGCGATTGGTCCTGTGGCGCCAACAAAGTGTGCTATGTGATGAAGTATGGACGAGTTGTTGTTATGAGTATCTTGGGGATGAGACTATGAGATTTATACTGGGGATTGTATATGTTGGGTTATGATTATTAATTGTGTTTATCTTATCTGTCTTGCCTGTTGTAAACTGTATATGTTCGGTATAACTGCTGTCTGTGCTTAGCCCTATCTATTGAGTCTATCCCTGTTTTAAAAGCTAGAGTTCGTAGGAGATATCCTCATGTTCAAAATGACTTTTCATATATCTATATATATATATATATATATATATATATATATATATATATATATATATATATATATATATATATATATATATATATATATATATATATATATATATATATATATATATATATGTATTGTATTGTATTTCAACGCGTTGGAGTGGGTTACCAGCATCTCTCGCTGAACAGATATATTTGGCTTTCAGGCACAGACGAGTAGATCACTGGAGTGCGCTAGAAGCTTGGACGTAGCTTAGATAGTTTTCCCTTTCGGCCTGCGTGCCATGATTTAGTATTGATACTATTTGAGGATATTAGTTAGTTAGCCTGTGCACCTGAGTTCTCTAGCTCAGGTGTGACATAGCACCCCATACTCTTGTGTTATGTTTTGGGATTTAATGAGATTTCACCTTTATTTTATAAGTTTTAAATATCCTGAAAATCTGGGGTGTTACAGTTGGTATCAGAGCCTAAGTTTGACCCTAGGATAAAACTCTTAAGACCGGACTTTAGGACATTAGGCTTGAACTCTAGGTACTTAGGAACATAGGATTCAGGAATCTTAGGACGCGCGGTGAGATTGTGAAACCTACACGTAACCTCCCCTCACCTTATCCCTCTCTAACTTAAAATAACTTCCCCCTACGCTTACCACACCAAGGTAAGGGTACAGCACACTGACTCATCGATACAGTAAATATTGACCCTGAAAACCAGCAGCATGGCGCCAACAAGAAGACAGTCAAGGATCCCACACTCCTCGAAGAATAAACTCAAACCTTCAACAAAGTCCTCGGTTAGTGGAATACCCAGAGGAACGCCCCGTAGGGATAGCCTCATTCCACTTCAAGACACGAGGCTGATCTTTGATAAATCCACGAAGAACCCACTTATGGGCAACAACCAGGGGTTCAACTAGGAGTGCCTAGGGGCACGACTACGGGGACGATTCCACCCCGCACCTGTAAGGGCAACCATGTACGAGGAAAATCCTTCACCTAAAACAAGGGATGGCCACCATCAGGGAATACTACAAACGATCCCTCCAGCTGGCTCATTTCGCGCCTGAATTAGATCCTACAGAGACAACCAAGATAAAGAAGTCTGTGACAGACCACAACTACGAAACCCAGAAGGCCCTAATTGTAAGCAAACCCCGCACACCCAATGAAGCCTACACCAGTAATGCCAACTTCTACCAAACGGGGAATTTAGGGACAAACCCGAAAGAAGGAGTAACGGAAGTGGGAGACCGCTCCCTCCAGCATGAGCAAACCCTTCCGGAACTGGTTAAGAATGGGCGCAACTATCCCAGCCCGGAGACCGGGAACGCCAATTAAATGCAAGAAAGAAAAGTAGTTCATAAACAACGTCTTTTCCCAATCGTTAGCACGAATTGTCGAAAAGGACTCGATATGACAAGAAGAGGCAACAGACGCATGGAAAGTATCGTACAACTAGAGCCTCCCGGCGATAAGGGTCTTACCTGGGAACAAGGACCTTGATGGTTTTATGACACCGTAAGAAGTACATGTAACACACAAAATCGCCAAAACACCATGAGACATCAAAGGCAGTCAATCAATGCATTCCAAGGAAGGGAAATGCATCACAAAGCACTTGGTCACCAAAGGACTGAACAAAGAACGAGCGACAAGCCGAACTCCAAGAAAAACCAAGAAGGCTTATCATTAATCAAGCAAGGCAAAGACAAAGTTGGCTTATAACCAACCACCCGGTGAAGGTGACGAGGTTGCTAATCGGAAACCAGACCCGACCTACTGAGCAAAAAGAACATGCGAGAGTCTTGACTCATCTATAAACTCGTACCTAAGGATCAATAAAACTATACGATGGGCCACCCTATGTATTCAAGTCCCTTCTATTGTGCACATGGACATGGGGCACATTAGACACACCACTCACGCACATTGAGTACAAATCTCACGCACATTAATAACCGCACAACCGCACGGGAAGCATTCAATCGCACTGGAACCTTTCACTATATATATATATATATATATATATATATATATAT